GATTTGGCAAACCTGATATCTTTCTTACAATGACTTGTAATCCAGCATGGCCAGAGATTAAAGCTGAGTTAGGACCTAATGAGGAAGCTCAAAATAGACCAGATTTAACCTCTCGTGTTTTTAGAGCAAAAATGGAACAACTGAAGGATGACATCATAAAACATCAAATCTTTGGGAAAGTCATTGCATATGTTTACGTCGTTGAATTTCAAAAGAGAGGTCTTCCACATATGCATCTATTGTTAATTCTAGCACCTGGACAAAAGCCTTTATCTCCTGATACTTATGATTCAATCGTATCTGCTGAACTTCCTGATCAAAAAAAACATCCTCATTTGTTTTCTATGGTGGTGAAACACATGATGCATGGACCTTGTGGTGAAATGAATCCAAACAACATTTGCATGAAGAATGGGAAATGCAAAAATCATTATCCCAAAAATTTTGAACCTATAACAAGATCTTCCAAAGACTCATACCCAATATACAAGCGTCGTGCTGATGGTAATCAAGTGAAAATCAGAGGGCAAATTTTGGATAACCGTTGGGTAGTTCCGTACAATCCATATCTTCTTGCCAAATATGATTGCCACATTAATGTGGAAATTTGTTCAACAATCAAAGCTGTCAAATATTTGTACAAGTATATTTACAAAGGCCATGATAAAATTGCATTCCATATTGTTCAAGAAAATCAATCAGAAATCATAGATGAAATCCAACAATTTCAGTCCGCAAGATGGATTTCACCTCCAGAGGCAATGTGGAGAATTTATGCATTCTCTTTGAATGACATATACCCATCAGTAATCCATCTTCAAATCCACCTTGAACACCAACAATTTGTTACTTTCAATCCTTCAGATGACCTAAATTCTGTGTTAAATAATCCCATCCGTTCGAAAACAATGTTGACTGAATTCTTTTTGATGAACAAGTCAAATGAGAAGGCAAAGCTTGGAAAATATTTATATAAGGAATTCCCTGAACATTTTGTTTGGTGGCAACAAGATAGAATGTGGACTGAGCGAAAAAAGGGCAATGTTATTGGGCGCATTGTCACAGCACATCCTGCACAAGGTGAAAGATATTACCTTAGGTTACTTCTAAACAACATCAGAGGCCCTACATCATTTGAATCCTTGAGAACCATAAATGGAAGAAAAGCAAAAACTTTTCGAGAAGCTGCCCTTCTCTATGGTCTCTTACAATCAGACAACAATCTTGAACAATGCTTGGAGGAAGCAATCTCTTACCAAATGCCTTACTCTCTAAGAAGATTGTTTGCAACCATTCTCATTCATTGTGTTCCTAATAATCCAAAGTAGTTGTGGGAAAAATTCAAAGACTACATGGCAGAGGATTATGCCAAAACAAGAAATTTTCAAAAAAGTTTTACAAAGCATAAATTCAACTCTTCAATTTTTTATTTAAAAAAAAAAAAACTTTAGCATTTATTAACTTCTCCCAACCCCCAAGTATAAAAAAAATTCTTTAAAAAGTCCAACATATATAAATTCCTTGAAAAGTCCCAACACATATGATTATTATCCCTCATAATAACACTTTAATGTATTAAGAACAAGCATAAAAAAATTCATTGAAACGTACAACACAAATGATTATTATCAAAATATTAAACTTTAATATAATATATAAAAAAAAAAAGACATTTAAAAATCACAATTGACATATATATCCCCTGATCAGCATTTATGACATTTTTTCAATCCACGTGTCTTTCCACATGCTTGCATTTATTGATTTGGTCAAAATCCCCTATCAGTATTTAAAATCCCCTCATACAAATAATTATAGATACAATCTGTGTATAGTTACTGCAATACCCTTTTCAACTTCTCTCATGCGCTATGGTTAGTGATAAGATTGTTAAATTATTTTTATAAAAAAATCTTAAAAAACATAATTTATATATTAAAAAAAAATCAAAGGTTGCGGTTCACTCATCACTCTTCTCTGTCTGTCCGTCTCTCTCTTTCTCTCTGTGTCTCTGTTACTCTTCTTTTTCTCTCTCTCACTCATCACTCTTCTCTGTCTGTCTGTCTCTCTCTTTTTCTCTGTGTCTCTGATCCATCTCTCTTCTCTCTATCTCTTTTCTCTCTCTCTCTCTCTCTCTGTGTCTCTCACTCATCTCTTTCTCTCACCACTCATCTTCTCTACCACCTTCACCACTACTGCAAACGCCATTTCACTACCACCACTACTACCACGGTCGCCATTTCACCTCTACGACTACCATTACTACTACCATCACCACCACTCCACTACCACCACTACCACTATTGCCACTACTACTACTACTACTACCATTACCTGTCTTTCATCACCGCCACTCCATCTACTCTACCACTACCATAACTTCACCACTAATTTCCTTCGCCATCACCACCACCACCATTGTCTCTTATCCACCACCTTCACCACTACTGCCGCTTCCTCTCCTCTACCACAAAATATTACCTCTCTTCTCTCTCTCTCACTTATCACTCTTCTCTGTCTGTCAGTCTTTGTCTCTGTCTCTTTCTTTTTCTCTCTTTGTCTCTCGCTCATCTCTCTTCTATTTATCTCTCTCATCTTCTATCTCTCTTCTCTCTCGCTCATTTATCTTCTCTCTATTTCTCTCTCTCTGTCTCTCTCGCCCATCTTCCTTCTCTCTTCGTCTCTCTTTTTCTATGTCTTTCTCTCGATCATCTCTTTTCACTCTATTTCTCTCTCTCTGTCTATCTCTCGCTCATATCTTGTTTCTCTCTATTTTTCTATATGTCTCTCTTTATCTCTTTCTCTCTCTGTCTCCCTGCCTCTCTCTCTCTCTATATCTCTTTCTCTCTTTGTCTCTCTCTCTCATTTATCACTCTTCTCTATCTCTTTCTCTCTCTGTGTCTGTCTCTCGCTCTTCTCTCTCTCTCTCTTTCTCTCTATGTGTCTGTCTATCTATAGTCTCTCTCCCTTATTGTGTTCACCTTGCTCACTCTCTACCACCACTATTCTATCTCCTCTACCAATATCACAACTTCACCACTTATCTCTTTCACCATCACTTAAGAAAAAAAAAATTGGGTCGTAAAAAAATATTTTTCATTGGCCACAAAAAATTAACTTTATTTTAATGGAAAATATTATCCCTACTTCTACCAAATAAAAAAATAATAATAATTTTATATTCATTAAAATAAATATGAAACAAATAAATTTTTAACCTTACTAAATGAAAAAATAAAAATAAAAATAAAAATTCATTAACTATAAAAAAATTATTTTAATAAAAAATAATTTTTTTATAGCAATGACATTCTCCGTTGAAAAAAAAAAAAGAGTCGTTTTATTATTTAAATATTCATTTGTAATGAAAATTAAAAAAAAAATCAAAAAAATTTCCATTCTCCCCCCTTCCTTTTCCATTCCCGCTTGGGTTCCCCCCAACCCAAATCCAAAATCCCCAATCTCAAAAATCCCTAACCCCCCTCTTCCTTCTTTTCCATTCCAGTTGTTTAAAATATTATGCTTTCCACGACGTCCAATTACTGTCGTGAAAGGGACGATCGAAAAAAAAAATAGCGCCAAAATAAATATTTTGAGCGCCAAAAAAAAAAAGAAAATTAAAAAAGAAAGATAGAAACAATCAGAAGCCCCAATTTTTTCAGCCCCAACACCAATCTTAAAAAAATAAACTCAAAGCATTTTCTGTGCAGTGAGGGCGACGAAGAAGAAGAAGAAGAAGTGGAAGAGACACTGATGAATCCTCCATCTCCATCACCATACCTCACATTTCTTCCTTCACCCGCTAACCCTAACTTCTTCTATTCTCATCTCCACCACCATCCCTCTCTCACCACCACCACCAACTCAATCACTTCACCAACACCACCACCTCTGCCTCTGCCATAGCCTCCCGGTCTCCCTACCGCTCTCTCAATACTCAAACACCTCATCCACCTCTCCAAAACCACCCTCCACTCTCTCTCCACTCTCCTCCCCACCACCGCCACCACTACCGCCCTCTGCCCCTGCCCTTTCAATTTCCACCACCGCCTTCCGCCGGAATCCCTTTTCCGCCACTCCTTCCAATGCCCTTCTTCCCCTTCCCCTCTTTTCAACCTTAACCCCCTCCTGCTCCAATCACTGCGCTACCCCAACACTCTCAAACCCTCCCGACAACTCTTCAATCAGAACTGCTTCCTTCAAACCCTACACAATACCAACTCCAACCTCTGCTTCTCCCTTGACGAGTACTGCGACTTCGGCCCCAATTTCTTCTACCGTAATTGCCCCGGCGTAGTTAGCTCTACCGATCGAGATAGTTTGAGCCGAACCTTTACTCTCCCAGGTATTTTATCGATTCAATGTGCAAATTTTGTAGGCAGTGATAATGGTGAAATTAAGGGTTTTTCTAGGGACTGTGTTAGGCTTCTTCCTTTGGAGTTGTGGCTTGTTAGGAGTGAAATTGAGTCATTGAGGGATTACCCTATTGCCTATTCGTATAGAGTTCTTTGGATCATTTTGTGTTCTGTTATGGCTGAAGATTGTGATTTCCTTAGATGGGTAATTGTGAATTTTCCTTTGTTATGATGGTGTGATTGATGTGCCTATGAGGGATCAAATAGTTTTGCTTTTTTAGCTTTGTTTGAAAGCAATTGTGAGGGAAGCTACTGGTTCGGTGGATTCAGTATTGAACATAGATGTGAGGGAGTTGAATCCAGCTGCTATGAGTTTATATCATGGATGGCTATTATTTCATGATATAAACTCTGTGCCTAATGATTTGCACGTACAACATTATAATTTCAGTTTATTTTTAATTGCGGGAAGTGGTGTGTGTTTTTGTTTTTAAATTATGGATGTGAGAACTTTCTGGTTTTCAAAATATTTCAAGTTCTCTTACTTACTAAGAATTTAGAATTAGAAACAGCATCATAAGCAATCACTTGACCTGCTACTTTGTTTCCTCAGTGCACATCAAAGAAAGGTGGAAGTGAGACAATGGACCTGATTGATTGCAGAATAAAAGTTTGGTAGCCAGTGGACAAGCGGTAAGTATTTTGTTGGTTTAGAGAACAAGATTAAGCCATTTTTTAACAAAATAGGTGAGAAAGATAAAGTTGGAGCACGAGATGTGTAGGTCTATGAAATTGGGAATCTCTATTATATTTAAATTTCTAATTTATTATGTATCCATCTTCTGTTTAAAATTAAGCTCTGGATAATTTCCTTTCCAGGTAAAAGTAGTTAGATTGAGATGAGTCATATCCTTTCACTCATAGGTTCAACACTTGAAAAAATATTTTCAATAACACCAGTGTCTACAAGGTTGGCCATGGCTTAGTTTTGTTCTTCACTTGGATTGTGAAAATGAATTTTATTTTCTTGTACCCATGAACACAGTGACCCTTACCAAATTCTTCTTTAGTTCAGTTTCATGAAAGTTTCCCATTCTACTCCTCTGTTTAGGGCCATGGGTGGTCTGCTACTACTAGGAGTCTGCGACTTTTGATCAGTTTGTCACTCTGTTTTCTATGCCATCCATATTGGATTCTCTGGCATACATTAAAACTTTTCTTAATCCTTTGATTGAGTCATCTCAAATAGTTGACCTTGTTTATGACTTAATCAATAGCTACTCATAAGTTCTGTTCCATTCCTAATTGTGTCTTTCCTGCAAGGAAGCAAGGACACTTCCCTATATGTGACATATACACATTTTTGGACACGGATAGGTGTCAAACACTGGAGACATGCCCCAACATCTGTTAATTTAGTTTAACCTGACATGTTGTTGACTTGGTGAGGACATCCCTATATGAGAATCAGACTCACACAGACCAAAAATGGCAGGGGCCAAACTCTAATTTTGGAAGCCATTTAATGAACGGTCAAAGTGGTAAAAATAAAAATAAAAAGATTGATACATTCAGAATGGAAAGAAAATTTGACACTACACTCGCACATCCCAATATTAGTGATGGGCCAAGATGACTTGTACCCAGTTGTCAGTCACACTGGCACATCCCAACGTGGGTGACTGGTGAAGATGACTTCTGCCCAGCGGTGTGTACCCCAGGGCCAATGACCTCTGGCTAGTGGAGAAGGGCTTCTGGCATATTCTCTTTGGCCCTTGCTTGCATTGACCTCCCAGTCTTGTGGCCTTTGGCGGATGTTGCTTGGGTTGTCATGATGATTAAAAAATTATATATATTGATCTCATGTTTGCTCTTTAGCTACCATCTTTTGATTGCTTTGACGCTGCCAATTTTCATAAGCCAAATCAATTTGTGGGCTGTCTGGAGATGGATTACATGTGGATGCAAGTCTCAAACCCATTCATCATCTTTTTTTACTTTATTTATATTTTCTATTTGTCGAACATGACATACAAAGAAAAAATGGGAGAATCAAATCAAAATTTATATTTATAATTTCCAAATGTAAATATATATATGTATATATTGTTGTGGCTCTGCCGGTTTTATGGCTTTTGAAAATTGCCTTGTTAGCGTGTATATATATCCATGTGCTAATAAATTATTCAAAAGCATACCACATAATCTTGATCTAGGGAATGACAATCCTTGATTACCTTAGTAGTGTGTACTTTTTGTACACGTGGTTTGCACTCCAAAATCCTTGTGTGTATTGCATTGACCTCCCAGTCTTGTGGCCTTTGGCTGATGTTGCTTGGGTTGTCATGATGATTAAAAAATTATATATATTGATCTCATGTTTGCTCTTTAGCTACCATCTTTTGATTGCTTTGACGCTGCCAATTTTCATCAGCCAAATCAATTTGTGGGCTGTCTGGAGATGGATTACATGTGGATGTAAGTCTCAAACCCATTCATCATCTTTTTTTACTTTATTTATATTTTCTATTTGTCGAACATGACATACAAAGAAAAAATGGGAGAATCAAATCAAAATTTATATTTATAATTTCCAAATGTAAATATATATATGTATATATTGTTGTGGCTCTGCCGGTTTTATGGCTTTTGAAAATTGCCTTGTTAGCGTGTATATATATCCATGTGCTAATAAATTATTCAAAAGCATACTGCATAATCTTGATCTAGGGAATGAAAATCCTTGATTACCTTAGTAGTGTGTACTTTTTGTACACGTGGTTTGCACTCCAAAATCCTTGTGTGTATACACGCTGCTGCAAGAATTGTGTCTTGATGGTGTCTTGTTAAAATCAACAGGTTTTATGGAGTAGTGAAGTCTTATGACTCTGAACATAAGAAATATGTGGTAAGTGCACCGTTCCATGTTCTATTTTTTTATTCTAATACTTGTGTTAGTCATGTTTTGGAGATACACATTTTATTTATTTATTTATCAATAATGTTATAATTGTAATCTCATATGGTTCTTTGACATAATTTTCTCTGATCAATTTTGTGTTAAAGGTACTGTATGATAATGGAGATGTGGAAGTGCTCCATTTAGATAAAGAGCGTTGGGAGCTTGTTGACAATGGTCACAAGCCTACAAAGGTTAACTTTATATTATAAATTCTATTGAAGCAATGAATTGTCCTTTAACTCTAACAATGTGTCTTTTTTACACCACCATTCACAGTAGCTAAATTATCTAAAAAGGGATTGTGAGTAATGCCTTCTAATTCATATCTGCAATCTACAAATTGTTTTGTGGGAATTATATGTTTAAACGTGCAGAGGCTTGTGGCAGTATTGGTGCATGGATCTAATTTTATTTTATTTTGCAGATTGTCTGAGAAGAACATCTACAAGGTTTCATTTTCATTATGATTTATCCCAAACATTTGGCTTATAATAGTGTTAGTACATTTTGATTATGTAATTCTGTCTAGATATATAACCTGTTTCATATACTAACCATTAAAGCTTCATTAATTTGTTTAGGACCATGGAATTGTTAGTTGAGTATTGAAAGGGTAAAGAGTCCATGAAAACCAACTAAAACATTTTGTTTATAATGTTACAGAGAATCAAAATCAACTAAAACATTTCTAACACCAAGTGGTGGAGAGGTTGCAGGTCCAAAGGATGCTTATTCATTACAATCTGGCTTTTTTGGGATGAAGCATCTGGCTATTATTATGATGCTTCTTCTGGATTCTATTATGATGGAAATACAGGTATTTATTTATTTGGAAGCTACATTTTAGTTGTTGTTTTCCTCATTGTTATATGAACTTACAGCACCTTAATGGGATGCACCATTTGTGAATTAACTTTAAAATTAATTTTTTGTTCTCATAATCTCGAAAAAAAAGTCTGTTAGAGGGGTATATTGTATAATTGATCTAATTGTAAATTGATGAGTTACTAATGTTTTTAATCTTTTGTATAATTAATTAATTACTAAATCTTTTAATTTATTTTTTTGCAGATTGGATTGGGGTGGCATTTTTGACGTGTAACAATGATCTAATTTGCTTGAATGTTCATTTTTGTTTGATAAGGATACACATACTTTGTGGAGTTGCACTAGTTATTGTTGGATTTTTGGTAAAATTGAACAAGTTATAACTTTTGGATATTTTGTGGATATTTCACTATTTTATTGTACTAGGATGAAATTATTTGTGATGATGAATGGATATTTTCATTTTGTTAATTCGTAAATGTGTTGATAACAGGTTAGGTTAAGTTGTGATAGAATTGTTATATTCAACAGGTTTCAACATGAACAGGGTCATATTTGTTGAACTAAAATTTAGATTTTGATAAAATAGGTATATAATATGGAAAAAAATATTATGAAATTATTGACAAAATTTTCCATCCCTAAAGAAGGCTCTTTTGTCTCTTATTTCGCTTAGGTGGATGATTAATTTTGTCATGAATTTTTTATTTCGTCACTAAATGCATTTTTCGTGACAAAAAATATTATCACATTTTGTCACTATTATCCTCAATGTGTGATGAATTTTTTTTGACATTATTTTATCGTTTTTAATGATGAATTTTTTTTTTGTCTCTATTGGTAGCTTCTTTGACAAAATTTTTTTGTCTTCGTTTATATTAAACGTGACAAAATTATTGTCTCCATTTCTTATATTTATGACAAAATAATTGTGTCTCTAATTTCTCCTTTAATGACAAAATATTTTGTCGCTAATTACTTACAAGTATGTTCCTAACAGAGTGTATTTGAGACAAAAAAAATTGTCACAAATTTATCATTTTTAATGATGAATTTGTTTTTGTCTCTATTGGTAGCTTCTTTGACAAATTTTTTTTGTCTTCGTTTATATTAAACGTGACAAAATTATTTCGTATCTATTTCTTATATTTATGAGAAAATATTTTTGTCTCTAATTTCTTCCTTTCATGACAAAATATTTTGTCGCTAATTACTTACAAGTATGTTTCCAATAGAGTGTATTAGAGACAAAAAAATTGGTCACAAATTTATCATTTTTAATGATGAATTTGTTTTTATCTCTATTGGTAGCTTCTTTGACAAAAAAATTTCGTCTTCGTTTATATTAAGTGTGACAAAACTATTTCGTCTCTGTTTCTTATATTTATGACGAAATACTTTTGTCTCTAATTTCTTCCTTTAATGACAAAATATTTTGTCGCTAATTACTTACAAGTATGTTCCCAACAGAGCGTATTGGAGACAAAAAAATTCGTCACAAATTTATTATTTTCAATGACGAAATTGTTTTTTCATCTCTACGACCCTTTAGCGACGAGGCTTTGGCGACAAAACGGGTGACGAAAAATTTTTGTCGTAATTAGTTTGGGTGGCGAAATATATATATTTTGGGACAAATTTGTTTCGTCTTTAAATCCCAAATTTGTTGTAGTGCTACCTGCACCTGAAAATAATATTCCCATATAGGGTGAGCCACAGCCCAGTAGAAATACACTAAACTAACGATGAACAATGACTAAAAGATTAGCAATTGATAGATGGTCAACACTGATACATTCACATAAATCACATATTTATGTCATACGACTTATAAGAACTATGATAAATAAATAAAAAACCATAATCATTCTAATATTATTATAAAATTGTTTCAAATATATCCACCATACTATTTAAAATTCATCAATCTAAAACCCACAATTCATTCTTAAAATTCAACTCAAAAATATTTTATTAAATTAAATGTTATATTGTTTGAAAAAATAGCAACAAAGCTTTTCCTTCTGAAATCCACACAAATCCAAGTACCTCAAAATCAAGGTTCCACACCAGAACTTACCTAAATAAAAATTAAAAAAGAAAAAGAACAAATTTCCTCTATGTCGACTGTTTCTCACACAAAAAAATGTACCTTTGTAGTGTCCCCATATAATTAAAAACTCAACATAGAAACATGATTAATAAGATTCATGTGATTTGTTTTACAACCCATGTGGTGTGTGTGGAAGCTACTCATGAATTCATGCCCAACTCTCTTATCATCATCTCTCATGATGCCAATGACATCGATTGCAGTGGCATTTGTCTGCTGTTTACCATTCCATTGCAATGATTCTTCATTTGTTTAATATCATTCTTTGATCATATATATATGTAAGTTAACAATAGATTGTTTGGTATAATTTATAGAGTTGTTTATAATTTTTTTTCAATCACTAAAAAAATTCATTAAAGTAAGTGGTATTTATAGAAGAGTCTATCTAATAAAAAAGTTTATACCAAATAAAGTAAAAATATTACAAGAAGCACAAAGGAAAAAATTTTATAAAAATATTCAGACACACAACTCGTGCTCATACTCGTACTGCAGAGTAGAGCCAATTATAAGAGATCGTCAATAAAGCATGTCTGAGATAAATCATAAGTTATAACCACAGGAAGGTCAAGCTTTACAATGACCACCGATGAACTCTGAGTTACACAATCAAACAACTAACAAAACAAAAATACAGAAAGAGGAAAAAATAAAAATAAAGCCTCTGTCCCAAGTTTAGGTAGTAAAATGGTGGCGACGTTTCTAGCGGCCGAAGGCTAGAATAGGTAGATCTGGAGGCCGAGAAGTAAGACTACAAATAAGTCGAACCTTTCCTAAGCTCGAGCTCGAGCTCAGCTCGATAAGTAACTGAGTTCGAGCTCGATTCAACTCAGCTCGTTAATATTAATGAAACTCGAACTCGGCTCGGCTCAGTTCAATAAGATTTTTTTAATATTATTTAAATAAAATCATTTAAATAAAAACTATTATTAATATTATTTAATATATAAATAATGTATAAATAATATATTTATTATATAATTTAAATAAAGATAAACAAGCCGAGCTTGACGAGCCGAGTTTATTCGAGTTCGAACTCAGCTCGTTTACTAAACGAGTCTAATATTCGAGTTCAAATTCGGTTCGTTTACTAAATGAATTGAGCCGAGCTGAGCTCTTAACGAGTTGAACTGAGCTGAGCTTGTGCATGAATAAGTCAGTTCATTTAGTCCTACCGAGAAGTGGCAAATTTGAGCCATGGAGACTGCAAAGTGGCAGGTGTGGAGGTGTGATGGTGGCGGTGTTGGAGTGAGGTGGAAGAAGAGTGAGAAAGGCTAAGTAAGGCAGAGCGGTAAGTCAAGGCTAAGTAAGGCAGAGCGGTAAGGGAGATAAGAGATTCGAAGAGATTCCACCATAAAGGGGAAGAAAACATTACAAGGAAAAGTTGGAATAACAAGTTTCAAAGGATTTATTAAAACAAAAAAGGAAAGAGGGAAGAAGGGGCCATTAGCGAGTGTTCCCCTCTCCTACCCCCAAGCAGCGGCCAAATCTCAAAAATCTTAAAAGAAAGGGATTGGGAGGGCTGCCCTCAAAAAATAAAGAGAGAGGGGTATGCACTATTGAAAATAGTTTAGTACAATTTTTATTTACCATTTATGAGGAAAAAACTAAAATATGTAATATAAATTTAAATTTAATATAGTATAAATATATTTAAAAGAACTTTAATCCACATATTTTATTTTTGAATTATTATTGATTGTATTTTTATTTTTTTTGTATGCGATTATAAAATGAGGATGGATAAGTACATGAAAGAGATTTTACCATGAAAAGCTGATACACTACAAGTGAGTCATTAATGAAAAATTAGACTTCTCAAAATGACTACTGTAATAATGGTTATATATACATATATAGCATTATTCATATTTACAATGAATTTTATCTCGACGTCGTTTGAAAATTTGATTATTTTAATTTTTTTTATAATTATTTTAGCTTAGTTAAAAAAGTTATGTTTGAAATAATAATATTTTTTTTTTGTAATCAATTTCATGATTGTGAGAGAAAAAATAGGATAGTTATGATTTATATGTGATATTTTGTTTTATTAATTATTTTAAATTATTTTATTTTTATTGACTATTTTATTAATTATTTTGGTATAATTTATCTGAACTGTTTATAATATTTTTTATTTTTATATTGAGAATCTATGTCTAATTATTTGATGCAAATTCTATTTATTGGGAAGTTACAGGAAAAGGTGCTTTTGACTTATGAATGATTGATTTTTTTTTTTTAGTAATTTAATAT